ACCTGTGCAGTAACACAGAGAGGCATTGGTGTAAGGGCTGAAGACTATGAGATGAAGCCATTACAACCCAAGGTGCACACCTACCCGCCCAAAGCCATAGGCTTACATCGAGAGTGCTTGGGCGACACAAAAGCAGCCCCAAGAGGCACCAGGAGACACGTTTACACCCATATTCATTAAGGTTTTCTGATAAACTGAATTTATCAGTAGAGATTATTTTCTGCAAGGAGGATGAGACCTGTCAGGAGAACCATTAGAGCTCAAAGGAAGGATTCTGTTGTTGGACTGAGAAGGGGTGGCTTTGCTCTAAGAAGAATGAAGAGCAGCTGTATCCCCCTGTCCCTGCTGAATTCCAGAGGCAGCAAGTTCTGATTTTACATGTCTCTTACCAACTCCCATTCATTGACATCACGCTATTGGCTCTAAATCTTCCATGGTAGGATTATCTGTATCTCCAAAATTGGTAAATGCTACAGATCCAAACTTTTTTGGAGATCCAGTTGTTAAATATTTACCAGCGTGTTTCTATTCTGCCTTTCGAATTAATTACCCCAATTCAAGCCTAATTCATCTGTCCATGTTCCTTAGGACATGATCTTAATAGAACAGATCTGACATCACCACCTGATTCCATTTTCTTTAAGATACATTTCTAGCCTCTTGGGGTGGCATTAAAGGCTGTCTTTCTCCTGTATCCAACCCAATTTTTCAATTGCTTCTTCTGTCTGTCTTCTCAAGGGATCCTCAAATTCTAGCCATCCTGAATAATAAGAGCTTAAAGACACCATCAGGATCTACCTCCGACAGAGATTTTTTTTTAAGGGCCAGCTCTTCTGCTGTGAATAACTAGAAATGCTGGACAAAATGAATTTCTAAAAGATCTGTTTGGAAGTACCAGGGAATGACCAAGGCTGTGAGCAACTGCAGGGCCCAGGGAGGCGGAGGCCAGCACTGGATCCTGGTACTCCTGAGTGTTTCTTCAGATTTTGAAAGGTTGCAGCCAGAATGGGTGTTTAGCTCAGCGGTAAAGTGCATATTGTGCATTTATGGGTTCAATCTCCAACACCACTTCTCCAAATAAGCCTGTCGCTGAGATTTTGAAGACCCGTGGGTCTTAGTTGGTGAGGAGGGAATAAAATTTGTCTGAGTAAGGAAGAGGGAATAAAATTTATGATCAACTAAGGAAGAGCAGTCTTGATAAACTTCATCCAGTTTGGGTTGGGACCTGGGAGGGTTAGGAGTGGATCCGAAAGGCAGCACCCCTCTCCAGTACTGAAGTCTGCCTCCTAATCATTTGAAAACCTGTTTGCATAAAGGTCTTACAGTGCTCTTGGCCCATCTGCCCAGAACAAACAAAATAATTTGTCTCTAGGTAAAGATAATATCATTCAAACCCTGAATTATCTCTGTAGTTTCTGATAGTTTAGTGGACCATAAAAATTAATATGCATCTGTCAGCTTTGTGTTACTATAATGAAACAGCTGTGATAATCAGCTCACAGAGAAGAAAGGTTTATTTTGCTCATGGTTTTGAAGTTCTAGCCTAAGACTTGGTAGCCCCATTGTTTTGCACCTCTGGTGGGGAATACCAGATGACAGCTATGCAAGGTACATAGTGAAACCTGCTCACTTCATCAAGCAGAGATCAAAGCACAAGGAACAGGAAGAGAAAGGGGTCTCTTCTAAAGGCACACTTGCACTCACCTAAGAATCTCCACTAGGCTTCATCTCTAACGGTTCCACTACCTCTCACTGTGCCACCCTGGGAACAAAGCCATGGATCTTTGGGGAACACTTGTCCAAGCCATAGCTTCTTATGTGCAAGTCAATGTTAAAGAAAAAGAGACAATAGGTGGAAACCCAGTGGAGATTCAGATAGGGGCACTCTTTAAAAGACCTGTGTATAATATGCTGAAAGATTAAGAAGACAAGGTTGAAAATTTTGGTGGAGAACAATGAAAATGGGACAAAATATACATCTCAGAACTGAAAAATATAGTTAGTTAAAACTAATAGTTAAAATTCATTGGACACTTCCCATGTGGCTGGTGCCATGGCTAACACTTTATAAGCATCAGCATAGGACGTCTGTGAAGTTGGTTTCTAGTTCTTTCTGTGATGAGGGCTCGAGGTCCCTTTGTCCTGCATGGTGGCACTTTCCTTAATAGTTAGCTGTCTCTCTACAGCTGTGTAATAACCACTCCTAAAATGTGGACCACTTGGTTCTGTTCTCTGCCATGGCAGAGCTGTTTTACACAGGTCTCAGTAATTTCTGCTGTCAGTAATGACTGGGCTAAGATAGTTGTAGTGACCAGAAGCTTGGAGAAGTCCCCAGGTATTGTCTGGGAAGGCAGATTCCATCACTGAGTTTCATTCAGGAAGCGAGTTGGGGTTTGAGAATCCAGCACTGGGAGTAAGTTTAGTCAGAGATGTGCTGTGGGCAGAAATCACAGGGAAACCAACTGATTTGGTGTGATAAGATGGAACCAAGAGTGGAATTGTGACCAGAAGCGTGAGGAGAGGGAAAGAGCTTCCCCTTCTTTCTTTTTCCTGCTCCTCTTTTGGGCCTGGAACAAGAAAAGAGGTGGATGAGTGTATAGGGAAAGGAGTATCGGTCAGCACACAGAGAATGGAAGGTGGGCCAGTGTATAGAGCCGGGAGGCTGTGAGGACAGGGCAGGGTTGCAGAGACGGGGCCAGTGTGACTCATCTTCCCCACTGGGGGTAAAGAAGCATGGCCCACTATTACTGTTTGAGTGCTTCCCACAAGCCCTGTGATTCCACCACATGGAGATCTTATTTAATCCTTACAGCAACTTACATTGTGACTTTTGCTATTAGCCATTAGTTATCAGATAATGAAACTGAGACTCAGACAGGCTCCACACATTATCTGAAGTGGCTGAGCTCCTAAATGACATGAAGATTCAGTGTAGGTCAGCTCTGGAGACTTCCTCCTCTCATTCCCAGAAAGAACATGCTGGAAGCTTAAGGGTGGGAGTCCATGGGAAAGGACACAGACCTGAGAAAGTCCAGGAGACTTTAATTAGACTCCTAATTCTGTAGGAGAAATCTCTCCTTCTCTTTTAATTTGAGTTGATATCAGAGAAATATTGACCCAGGGGCTGCAATGGGAGTGCAGCCATTGGTTGGGAATCTGTCAGAGAGGATGAGGGCAGGATAGAGCCTCACTTCTCCCATTTTTTAGAATACTTTTATGAGAGAATGCTGATTTTTAAATCCAGGAAGATGTTAGAGGTAGCATAAGAAGGATGAACATGACAGAACTGTCATTGCTGTGGTCCAGGGGACTCAGGTATGAGGGCTATGTTAATCCTCTGATGATTAATAACTGTTCCAGAAACTTTAACTCCACAAGTTCTGGAAGTTACAGAAAACTAGGCAGACTTATAGACATCACTTCCTTCAGCCACCACTGATGAAAACAATTCAAATGAATAAGTAAACAAACAGAGCACTCCCTTCCAGTATCCCCCATGACCCTCAAGAGTGCCTGTCATTTCTCTACCATGTTTTGAAGAGGCCGAGTGACTCACCTCTTGTGAGGAAAGTACAGGGACATGTATGTACATTTGACCTGTCAGAGGGTGAGATTTACAGAAATGTTTTCTCTGAAGGAGGAGCTCTTTAAAGACTTGGGAAATTCATGTTTTCCTTTCTTGGCTTGAAGAATTCAACCCTCATTTGAACATAGGCTCTGGTTTGTTGATTGAAAAGAAATCAAATGTATTGAGATCAGATGCTGTGGTAAAACAACCTGCAGTTAGGGTTCAGAAGCCCTGGACTGCTGAGCATACGTTTGACATCAACAAGCTTTGTGACTGGGCATGGGCCGTTACTCAGCCTCTTACAAACAGTGATGGGGTGGAATAAGACACAGTCCAGTTCTAAAATGCTAAGATCCACGCTTCCACAATGGCAATTCCATCTGACAAATCATGTAAGAAACTCTTCTTAGCTTTTATATATCCCAGAAATAGATGCATGCTTAGCTTTTCCTATAAGGAAAGAAGTTCGTGTTTGTTAGTGCTTCCTTTTCCTTCCTTCCTTCCTTCCTTCCTTCCTTCCTTCCTTCCTTCCTTCCTTCCTTCCCTTTCTTTCTTCCTCCCTCACTTCTTCTTCCTTCCCTTTCTTCCCTTCCTTCCTTCCTTCTTTCCTTTTCTCCTACTTGTAAGGAACTGAAATTAAGAAAACAGAGACCCAAATAAATGACATGATTTCCTCAAAGTCAAAATCACGGGACAGGATGGCAAGTGGCAAAGATGAAAATTTGGATCCATTTCTGTCTAAGTGTTGAGTTTATTACATTTTTGTGACTCCATGACTTTAAAGAGGGGGTCATGGGAAGAGAGTTGGTTCGATACCCTCCTTAGAGCAGTGGTCAGCATATTTGGAGTAAAACTTGGCCTGACCAGTATTTGGTACATTAAATTGTCCAGAAGAGCACTGGCCTTTCTGATCTACAGACTGTCTGTGGCTGCTTTCACACAATACAGCTGAGCTGAGTAATCCCGCCAGGGGCTAGATGGAACACAGTGCCTAGAATGTTTATTCTTCCATTGTATACACAGTGCTGGGCAGTCCTCTGTCCAGAGTCCAGTATGTTGCCCCTCATTCAGAGAACACAAGTGACATGAGGCTGTCCTTTGTGTTGGGAGCCCTGCCACTTGGCTTGGTGGTGAATGGGAGATGTTTCTAAATCTGTTTTCCAAAAAGTTCACAAACTGTATCAGGATACCTGTCAAACAAATCAAGGCATTTGGTTTTCACTGTGCTCTTCTTCCCAGGAACTCAATGAAGGGGAAATAGAACCTCAATTTTGGGGAAATTGCACAGGGGAAAATGGGGGAGGGAATTAGTTACAACACCCCGTTGCGACATTCAGCGGGGTTGAACGTGACAACAGCAAGGGTTTCTCATTTTGGAAATGTGAGGGATTTCCGTTTCGGGGCAGGATGGCAGCAGCTCCGCTTGGTGAGTGACTACTTTCTTTATAAGCAGCAACTCTGGGTCCGAAATGGCAGTTACTACTGCCTTGCTACAGCCACAAGATGGAAATCTGCAAGGCTTCCTACAGTCTCCTATTCTCTCTCCTCTTCCTGTTCCATTCAGAGGCAGCCTGCCGATCCCTTGGGAGAAGACCTTGCAAGATGCAATCCTTTAGGTAAGGCTGTCTTGAAGACATGGGGTAAACTGGCCAGAGACAAAGACACTTCCCAGCCAACCATGGTTACTGGTTCTGGAGGGCCTTAGAAACTGGGTTTGAGCTGGAAAGCAGTGTGCTTTCCAGTCTAAAGACCAGGCATGGTCTTTAGAGTTTGCATTTCGAAGGACCCTAGATGCGAAAGCAAGGCCATGGCCAGCAGGCTCACTTTCCCAGAGTCTCAGGCAGCAGAGTGAGACACTTGTCAAGGAGTGGTACGAGCATTCAGGCCTGTCAGCGACGAGAGTACCAGGCAGGGCACAGCCCAAAGGCCCGCCTAACAGCTCTCACTCTGCTGGGAGCTCAGTTCCCCGATCTGTGATGCGAGGTACTTGAAAACTCCCTGTGTACCTTACAGGGTTGTTGAGAAGATGAAATGTACAGATAATAGAATAAGCGTCGTCTGTGAATTAATGGTGTGCCTGAAAAGAATGAGAATTTTATAACTTGAGTCAGAGCCCTGGAAGGCCTCGCCATCTCCGCAGTAAAGTTTTCAGGCTATGATGTAGATAACTCTGAATGTGCTGTCCTGTCTGTGCATGCCCTCTGCCCTGCAATCCCTCCCCAGGGTGAAGTCATCTTGGGTCACTGCACTTCTTCTCCAGGCTGTAGTTTGAGACTTTGAGTGTGTGAGTGTATACATGCACCCTAAGCCCAGTCCCTCCCTTTCCAGACTCAGGAACTGTCTGTTTGGGGAGGCTCCCTGTGCTTCCTCTAATCAGCCAGCAGCTCTGGGAGATGCCCCTAAAGACCTCTAGAAGGGATGCTGAATCCCTCCAAACTGAGACTAAGCCTAATCACAAAAGGTCGATTGCTCACACATGCAAAGCACTGCATTTGCCCAGCTATCCCTCCCTGAGTTTGTTGGAAACCCAAAGCCTCCTCCTGATGAAGCAGGTGCTGTTAGCTACACTGCACAGGTGAGAAGCTGAGGCCCAGGGGTTAATATCATGCTGGCAGAGCTCTGGTGACTGCATCTTATGGCTGTCAGTCCTGCTGTCAGCCTGGCTATCAGCCCAAGGGTCCCTTACAAAGAAGAGAGGACTGGGAGCCATCATCAGGTCACTAGGTGAATTAGAAAAGAAGCCAATATGTCCCCAGGGACAACTGTCCTGGCCAGTCAGAACAGATCACCAGTGCATGGAGAATATATTTTAACAACAGACTGCCCTGGTCCAAGACTCAGAGTGAGTTAGGTGCAAGTTGTTCTGTGCCTTGAACTTCCATACTATGGTAGCCACTAGTCTTGGGTGACTATCTAAATTAAGATTTCAAAGAAAATAGAAAGAATTTAAAAGTTCAAATCCTCAGTGGCGCCATCCACAGTTCAGGAGCTGAATAGTCACAGGGAGTTAGTGGCTATGACATTGGATAAGGCTGATATGAGATATTTCTGCAGCAGGTTCTGTGGACTGGTGATACTCTAGAGCAGTAGTGGTAGGTCTATGGCATGTGTGCCATGGCAGGCTCTTTGTATCACTGAAAGCCCTACGAGCTTCACCACCCCTGCTCTAGAGCCTGCTTTGCTGAAATGAGAGATTCCTGGGCTGGGAATCTGAGATGAAGGAACAAGGAATAGAGACAGGTAGAAAAGAGTCCTCATCAGCTGTGGGCGTTGGGCTGTCTCTTACCTGGATTCAGCCCGAGTCTTTGCATTTATGCTTGACCAAGCTGGACGCAGATGAAGTGAGTGCTGGGGGACATGGGAGTGCTGAGTCCCGTTTAGGCGCACAGCAGCTGTACACTACAGCTGGATTTCTTTGCTTTTCAGAATCTGGGATATTAACCAGAAGACTTTCTATCTGAGGAACAACCAACTGTTTGCAGGACACTTGCAAATGCCAAATACTAAATTAGAAGGTGAGTGGTTCCCAGGAAAGCCAGTGCTGTGTGGGCATCAGGTCACTTTTCCCCTGGATTCTGTAGCATCTAGATCAACCCTGCAACCTCCCTAACTACTGCTGAGTTTGAAGCCCAGAAAACTTGGGACATGTGACCACAAGAGGTGCATACAAGCACTGCTTCCAGAAGGCAGCAGAGGTAGAGTCTGGGTTGGGGGCCAATGGCCACCATATACATGCACAGTGACCCAAGACCACGCTAAGAGGGGCAGGGGCCAGAAGGCAAACCAGGCCAGCCCCATTTGTACCAGTTCCTTTGTCATTCAAATCCAAGTGTCACCCCAGAAAAATACACCATATGCAAGGGTGGGCAACACCCTTTATTCGTGAGCACCATACACAAGTCCTGGTTCACATTTCAGGCACACTAGGTGAACTTGAACTTGAACTCTGCTCCTTAATTCTTCCTTTAGTAAGATGAGGGCAGTTGGATGGCAATTTGAAATTCTGCACTGGTATTTTTGATGTTACCATCCCTGTTTGGTGACAATGGTATAATTTCCACCTCCCTGCCCTTCCCTAATCCCTTGTGCTCCCTCCTCTCCTTTACTCTGAAGGAGTAACAGACGTATGTTTTCTGCCTGTCTGGTAATTTTCCAGCGGACATGCTAAAGCACAGGGAGATTGTGTTTCTATTGCTACACAAGGGAATGAAAAAATATTTCCATCCCAGAAGCCCCACCATGACCCATCACCACAGCAGTGCACTTGTGACCAGAGAACTGATAGTCTGAGGAAAGCAGTAGAGGACTGTCCTAACATGCAGCAGAATCAGGACAGTCCCCATGCAGGGACTTGGTTCTTAAAGAGTAACTAAGTAGTGTGATTATTTGATCTTCTGTTTGAATATGGGCCAGGGAAATGAGGTCTTGGTGTCATTTTGGCCTTAAGATTTTAATTGGGGAGAGGACAGAAAAAATAATCAAGGTCTCTTCCCCATCTCTGCCTCCTCTTCTCTCCTCACCTCTGACTCTTCCTTCTGCTCTTCCCAGTAAAGCTAGACATGGTGCCTGTCAATGCTCACAATGTGTTCCTGGGGATCCACAATGGGAAGCTATGCCTGTCCTGTGTCAAGTCTGGTGATGATATCAGGCTCCAGTTGGAGGTAAGTGTATGTTTCAGACAACAAACTGCTCTAAAACCCATGGATGTCGAATAAACTGCGTATTCTCCCAGTCCTGTGGGATGGATTGGTACCAGCTGGGTAGTTTGTCCCTTGGGGAGGAGGATGCTGGATTACTCATGCCACTTCACCTACAGTGCATCTGCTGGCTTCGGATGGCCCAGAATGGTTTTTCATCTTCCAGCCTCTCCTTCGTGGAGAACATTCAGTAGTTTTAGCTCAAGCTTCCTTACAGTGACCATGGTGGCTGGCTTTTATGAATGACCATTCCTAAAGGACATCCCTCAGTGGGAAAGTGCTTACCAAACTTCTGATCCTATTGGTCAAAGCCTTTCATGTCACTAAGTCTGTACTCAGTATAGGAGGAGACTGCAAAAAAGTGTCAATACTTACAGGGGATAGAGGTCAGTGGGAACCACCACTGTGATTTTCTATTACAGGACTTGAGCCACTATGGGCATTCCAACCACTCAGGCCCTCTTCTAGGAAGTCCAACCCCTACGCATTTTCTTTTCCAATCCTTACCCATGTAGCCTGGCAAGATGGTCTCCCATTTAGACTCTTGGAATAGTAGTGGGTCACCTAGTCCTGAGAAAAAGTGGTGCTGTCTCAGGAGCTTGTGGCACAAAGCTGTTAACCAAATGTGAGTGGCCATAACCGTAGGGCTGTCATTTCACTCCACCCTGTATCTATGGATGCCCTTTTGGAGAGAAACTACCTGTTTTGGGTGGAGGGGTGGCCAGGATATTGCACGTAACACCGAATTCCTTTATCCACCATGCCTGTCCTCAGAGGCTCAGCCACTGATAACACCAGCCTCACGGACCCTGGCCTTTGTTGACAGGGCTGGAAATATACTAGACTTACTGGCCCATGGCCAACATGGCCAGATTTCCAAAGTCAAGGTGTGACAAGGGAACATGACTTTGTACCATTGATGTCCTAGGGGACCTGGGATCCATGGTTTCCAGCCAGTTATCCAGGCCAGCATTTGTCCAGCAATTTGGGCCTATCAGAGGGCCACCATGTGGTGGAGGGGGAGAGCTAAGCAGTATAGGACTTCCCAGCCTCACTCTCACCTGTCCATCTCTTGCCTTCTAGGCAGTGAACATCACTGACCTGAGCAAGAACAAGGAGCAGAACAAGCGCTTCACCTTCATCCGCTTGGACAATGGCTCCACCATGAGTTTTCAGTCGGCTGCCTGCCCAGGCTGGTTTCTCTGTACAGTAGAAGAAGCTGACCAGCCTGTCCGCCTGACCAACAACCTGCAAGACTCTCACACAGTCACCCAGTTCTACTTCCGGGAAGATCAGTAGTACTGTCCAGTCCTGAACTTCCCTATTCCCCAGCCATGAGTGATGCCAGCAACTGCCTCGCTACCTCTGCTGAGGTGGCTCCTGGCTGTCACAGAGATTCAAGGAGCAACTTTTGCATGTGGACTTTGGAAGGAAGCCCAAGAACCTAGCTGACAGGACTCTGCCTCCAGCCTTTCACTGACAGCCTCCATACCACCTCCAGAATGGTCTTTCAAAGTGCAAATAGCACCAAGTCAAAGCTCTTCCATGTGGCCTCTGTCCTGAATTCCTGACCACTGTCCAGCTGGAGTTACTCCTGCTGCCCACATCCCACAGTGCACCTGCTAGCTCTATGTGTCTTCTCTCCTCTTCCCACCTCTCCTTCCTTCTTTGCCCCATTGTCCATTCCCCAGGTATAGCGTTACTAGTTGAGCCCACTGAGTGATCCCACTGGCTAGTGCTTGCCCATGGGAAGGTTTGTGATTGTTTATTTTGTTGTAGGTGTTGGGGATTAAAGCCAAGGCCTCAAGCAGGCAAAGCACACACACACTCTAGCACTGAGCTGCACCCTCAGCTCATGGGGACATTCTTAAGAATCTGTGGAAATAGAAATCAAAGAGTTTATGATGATTTTAAAGCCAGTTTTATTCAATGTGAAGCAGAATCCTTCATTTGAAGATTATATCTTTTCTGAGAGGGGCTGGAGGATTAGAACGTTCCTCCTTTGTGAACAATGGCAGAAATGGGAAAGTAGGTGATAGCTTTTCTTTCTTTTTCTGGTAACACCTTAAACTGTAAAAATTACAAGTTGGTGGACTAAACTGACCCCTTACTGTATTTTTGCTTTTTTGAATGCTTCCAGAATTGAGTCTGTCTGCTGGGGCTCCAAATACCATCTCTACTCCTGATCTTCTGCAGGTTCCTACATTTTCCTCCTGTGAGAAGTTCCCCAACTTTGCACTGTGCAAATGTGGCTCCCCAAAGTGTTCCCTTGCAGTTAATGAGGGGAGAATCCATGAATTGCTCATTGACCATTGGCACTCAAACTTTAAAGAAAGGTAGCTGCACATCTGTCTGTCTCCCAGCAGACTGGCAGCTTCCGAGAGCAGAAAGCCTGACTGTATGTGTCTTGGCTCTCTGTGGAACAGAAAACCTCCCTAGGCCTTAGGGAGTGAATGTGTGATGTATGTGTTAGGTGGAAATTTTCTTATTCCTGTGACTTTAGCTGTGTTTTACAGTAAAATCTTGAAAATGCCTATGTTGTTGGCTGTGCTTGGCTGTTACAAACTTCGGACACTGGCGGGATTGGGAGGGTGGAGATTCTTATCACTACAGGAGCCTCTGAGAGTTCATTATCTCCTTGGTCCTCACCTTCCCTGGATAATTTGAGAGCAAATGTCTCTGCCTGTAAGGGATAAGATAGCATTGTCCATGAAGAGTCCCAGATGGGAACAACCTAACCACCCATCACTGAAGAAATGAGCATATAATTCTGAGCTGTGTATGATGTGATATTCCATGGCCAAGAAAATCAATGAACTGCAGCCAGCTGTGCCCAACACAGTGGGTGAATCTTACAAACCTGATGTTGGGTCATAAAGGTCACCAAAGCTCAGGCCTTTCATACTAAGTTAAGCAGCGGCTTACAGCTCAGTCAGGGACAAGGCAGCAACACAGGAACTCTGGGTTCTGCAGTCACTGCCTGGTTCTCCTGGTGGTTTGTGGAAGCATGGATCAGTTAACATCTTGGAGAGTTAGTTTTCTCATCTCTAAAATGTAGATGATGTCTAATGCAGAAGACTGAGTTACTGCCTCTAATCTTGGCAATAGCCCTCTGTAGTAAATAGTAACAATTATATTACTACTATAGTAATATTAATCTGTAGTAATATTGCCACCATTGCTACTCTTGGAAGAGTCAGTACACAAAGAAATGTGCATAAATGCTTGTTGCTCCAAGTGTGATCAGTGGGTTAGCAGCCTCAGTATCACTCATGAGCTAAAATGCAAACTCCCACGCCTCATGTCAGACTCCTGGATTTAGGACTTTTTCTTCTCACAGGTTCACAGAGGTGAAAGTTTGAGATGTGCTGCTTCAGAATGTGGCTCTTGCAGTGCACAAGCTCTGGTATCCTTTTTTTAAATTTTATTTTTAAGAGAATAAAACCAAGCAAAACAAAACAAAAAAGAATAAAGCCAATCAAAACAAAATAGTTAAAGCAATACAGAGCTTCAAAACAAGATAATAGAAAATCAACAATGGCTGCCATAATGTCTCATTACCATCAGATATAATAAAATCAAACAAAACAAAACAATAAAACCAATCAAAACAAAACAATGAAAATGATACAGGACTTTCATACAAAATAATAGGAAATTAACAACGGTTATCATCTTCCCTTTTTAGATGTTTCTTCCTCTTTCACTTGCACAGTATCTATTGTACGTTTTGGATCCCATTAACTCCTTCAGTGTTTCATACTAGGGAGACAACACGATGTTCACCCATGTGAGTCTGAATTATTTCACCCAAAAGCATGATCAAAAGTTACAACCATTAACCACAAGAACCTCATGATTTTCCTTCTTTATAGTTGGGTAGCTTTCCATTGTATAAAAATGCTGTATCTTTTTTATTCATTCTGTAGTTGATGGGCAAGCTACTCCTGCTTTTTTCTGGGTTCCTATTGCATAGAGCATTGTTTTATCTCCTTTGACTTTCAGTCTATGAATTTCCTTTCAAATTAATGTGTTTCTTGTATAGCACATATTGATAGATGTTGTTTCTTAATCTACTACTCCACCCATGTTTCTTTTTATTGGTGAACTGAGGCCATCTACATTAACAGATATGGCCAACATGCACTGGTTCATCTCTGTCATGCTTTTTTCCTGAAGCTGGTTCTCTACTTTTCCCCTTCATTCAAATGCCTGCCCCAGTTGGTGATCCCACTCTGCTGCTGTTCCTGGGACAATGGTTATTTTTATGTCGCTCTAGAATGTCCTTCAGCACTTTTTGTAGTGTTGGTTTGGTCACAAATTTCTTTAGTTTTTCTTTGGTATAGAAAAAACTTCTTTCTCCATGACTTTTGAAAGATAGGTTCTCAGTGTACATCAATCTGTGTTGGAAATTGTTTTCTTTCAGGACATGAAATACTTCACTCCAGGTTCTTCTTGACTTGATGGTTTGTGTTGAGAAGTCCGTAATGATTCTTATAGGTTTTCCTCTATAGGTGATCTATTTATTTTCTACAACAGCTTTTAATATTCTGTTCTTGTGCTGAATTTCTAGGATCTTGATTATTATATTTCTGGGTGTACATTTATTTTGGTTATTACCTGTTGGAATCTGTATCTTACCTGTATGTGAGACTTTTTTCCCATGCTTGGGAGGTTCTCTACTATTACTTCCCTAAATAATCTCTTTATGTCATTTGTGTTGATTCCTCCTTTTTCGCCGACACCTATGATTCTTAAATTATTTTTTTTTGCTTTGTCTTGTAGCTGTCAAATTATTATTTCCTGGTACCTTGTTATTTTTAAGAGATCTTTCCTTTCATGATTGTTAGCTGCAATCCTGTCTTCAAGGTCTGAAATTCTATGTTCTGTTTCTTTCAAGCAGTTTTGTCAGTTTTTAATGTAGTTTTTAATTTCCTGGATATTGCTTTGAGCCTCTTTCATGCATTTCAGTTCTTCCATATATTGCTCACTCAAGGTTTCCCTCATTCTCCTAGGCCCCTCTTTTTTTAAATCTATGTCTTCTTTAGATACATTCAGCCACCCTTTTATTATGTTTGTCATTTCTCCTTTTATTTGAGATATTATTTCTGATATGATTTCCTCTACAGACTCATGAAATAGTTTCTTTACTTCAGTTGCCATCACCCCAAAAATTTCAGGTTTGTGACTTCCATTTTCTTCCATGTCTAAGACTCTTTTACTTTTTCTGTTTGGGCTGGAGGCCAGAGATTGCCTTTTCCTTCTTCATTTTGGCATGTTCCTGATTTCCTCTGGACAAGCAGGTTGTGGGGTCCCAGGCACTTCTCACGCTGACTACCCATCCACAGTGTAGGGCGATGGATCAGGCACATGAGTTTCTCCTAACCCAGGTTCACCAGGAAGAAGTGAGGTGTGGAGAAAGCTTCTTCAGACACTCCTGGCTTTTCCAAGACGTGGCTAGCTGGTTCTGGCTTGAGCTGAATACCCAAAAGAGAGTCTCAATGGTGCCCTGCATGCTCATGGGGCTGAGTCACTGGATGCCTTGCTTTGGTATCCTTATCAAAGTGTTTCTCATAATTCTAAACCCAATTCACATACCTGCACTCATTAACCATAACTGATATTGCTGCTTACCTCCTTATTTACATATCAAGTGAGCTGAAAGATATCCAAAAAGGAAATCTTTGGGCCATCACCATCCTACTAAAATATCAGTCTAACACACGTGGGAATTTCCATCTGTTTCATTTTTTGCGTATTGCAAATACCTGATCAGTGCTTGGCATAGGTATGCAATGGCTACTTGGTGAACCATGAATTAGACACTAATATACCAATGGGAATTAATGGACTACATATGTTAGTCAGCAGTTTGAGGAGACTGGGAACTCAGACCAAGTGAAGTCTGAGAGGCCAATAAAACAGGAAAAGCCCAGGGATTTGGAGGCTGAGCAAGAAAAAAAGATATGGCCACCAGGTGGCAGTAGAACACACTAGCTTTGCTGGGCAATGTTCTGAGAGGTCTGAATAGCTGTACCTGATGGCTGGAATCTGCCCAGAGGCTAGGACAGAAAGGGAAACCTACTAGGAAGGCAACTATAGCAAAGGAATTCTTAGGGGAGAAGGGCCATGGAGAGGATCTTTACATGTGTTAGTGTCCTAGTTACTTTTCTTGCTGCTGAGGCAAAATACCTGATATCCCACATTGAAGGAGGAAAATTTAGTTACCTCCCAGTTTGTAGAGATATCAGTCCATAATTGACTGGCTCTGAAGCAGGGTGGCACATGGCAGAGGGGCAAACACACAGCAATGGAAGACAAAAGAAGCAAGAAAAGAGGGAGAGACAAGATACTCTCCCTTATATCGTATGCAGTTTACCAGTCCTAGGGCAGGCAAAACACCTATACTCTTAATCTCAGCCCTGGACCATGAATCAGTCACAAACTCTAGATTCAGCCACTGAAAAGCGCCCCTACCCTGACTGCATGAGGCTTTGGGAGGACATCTAGACACAAACCTTAACACTTGGTGATGTCATTTAGCCAAGTTCAGATTGGGCCTTACCTTGGCTAGAAGGTACTAGGTAGTTGCATAGGTTGTATTGGGTACAGTTTTATGAGGCTCTACATGGCCAAAGACCTGATGATTGTGGCTATATTTAGAATAATTGTATGTGTGAACATGGGTTTGGCATTGGTTGGGGTTTTGAGCTAATGCATCTGATCTGAGCCTGTGGTGAACCAATTGGAATTAAAAGACAAAGGTTCCCTGTGGCTCATTTATTCACCAGGCATGGAATGTGTTAGGACAGCGAGGCCTGGGCAGTATGTTCCAGAGGCAGTATAAGGGGAGCTGAGGGATGGGAGGCAGTCACAGGTGGGGCATGGAGAGGGAACCTGGGTGAGGAGCTGTGTGGGTGCGGCCTCGTCTGTTACCTCTGGGTCTGAGCAACTAGAACGCCACCGAATCCCAGAACCACCAGTTCAGAAACCCACAATGGAATCCAAGGCTCTCCAGTTTCCACAGTCTAGTCAGTTTGCCCACTAACTTGCTGGGTGACCTTGGTCAGGCAACCTCCCTTTCCTAAGCCTCATAAAAGGAGAGGTTGGCACTAGCTCTGTGTTCCCAGCAGCCTCACCTGTGGAATTTCTGCACAATGATGCCAATTCTAAACCTCACTCTCTCTACAGAGAGTCTGATTCACCTGGTCTGTGAGTGGCCTGGAGTAGGACAAGGACATCATCATGGCAGGGCTGAAACCCTGAGGGAGCCCCAAGGTTGAGACTTGCCAGGCACTCCTGCCTAGGAGCATCTGTTCATGCAGAAAAAGGAAGTGGCCTTTCACTTGAGAGTGGGCCTGCTACTGAGTCCTTGCCACATTTCCACTACCTATTAATCTGGGTTGAAGGGACAATTTCCACTTTCTCATTCACATGCTGGCTAATGCTATGAAATTCTTTCTTGTTTGCTTACTTGTTTGCTTTCTCTCTTTCTGTGTAAACTGTGCTACACTACCAGGGAATAATGCTTACA